AATGCTTCCCTCCCTCAGTGTTCAATATTAATAATAATAATAGTAAAAAAGGATATCTTTTACTGATGCTTTCTACATGGTAGCAGTGAATCGGCACATTGGTATATTTACCTCAAATCCTTGCTACAACAGTTTAAGAGACATATTATTACCATCACAATTGAAAAAAACAAATGGAACTCAAAGACTAACTTTTCCCAGGCCCTCCCACAGAGATATGAATGCCCGTTACTTGGGCGTCCCTACGCCTCAGTGCCCTCTGTCACTCTACCTGCCATCAGTCTGGTGTCGAGATGTGCATCACATCACAATGGTACCAGCACCCTCCATCAGCAGGCCTCCCAGACTCAGGCCCCTCTTGAATTACTTCTCCTTGGTGAATCCCCCCATCCCTGGACGTTGCTGTCTTTGAGGGTGGCGTTCACTGACAACCATTACTCATTACGGCCCTGTCAGGGGTGAATGGCAAGTGACAATGTACCTAAGTGGAGAATAAGAGACATTCAACTTAGATTTTGGTAGCAATGGAAAGGAAATACACACACACACACACACACACACACGCACGCACACACACACATTCTCATTATTCATAGGAGTTCTCTTAAATGTGTTTTATCCTATGGATTTATCACTTCCTGGAGTGTTTCAGCCACCACCTGTCTAGCATCTTCTTAGAAAGACCGTAAATGCTAGAGCTTTCTGTTAAAATTGTAACTAGCAGTTTGGAGCCTGGGTTAGGAAGACAAAATGTGGACAGAAGTGCCCTGGGGGATAAATCCTTGGTCAGCTACCTTAGTTAGCTGTCTTCGGAGGCCAGCATATCCCAGGCCCTATGGATGCACAAACATATATACCTAGGGATGTAGGAGTGTAGATATGTGTCCCATAAGAAATTCCCCCAATTTTCCATCTCACAAACCTCTGAAAAAGCCCTAGTCCTTCAGGGGCATGCTCTTTTCCAGATTCCTTTAGCTTTATAACCTCGGCCACACAACTGCCTGACTTCAAAATGCGTCTATCTCTCTCTCTCTCTCTCTCTTTTTTTTTTGACTAATCAGCTTATTAGTCAAAGTAACCTATTGATATTATCTGTAAATCATGTTTCCGAAAGAAGCAGAAAGAGAAATTACTATCAGACTCGGAATTCTGATTTTTAGGAGCACCTGGGTGGCTGAGTTGGTTAAGCATCTGACTCTTGATTTCAGCTCAGGTCAGGATCTCAGGGTTGTGAGATTGAGCCCCATGTCGGGCTCTGTGCTGGCCCTGGAGCCTGCTTAAGATTCTCTCTCTCCCTCTGCCCCTTCCCGCTCATGCTCTTGCTCTTTCTCTCTCTCTAAAAAAAATAAAATAAATAAAAATAATAAAATTAAAAATCAAAAAATTAAAAGAATTCTGATTTTTATTTGACAAATATTTTAATCACAAAGTTCCATGCATGTATCACATAACATACATGGATGACTATTTCCTTTCTGCTCACTTTAGGTCTCTTACCATACCAGTCATACTTGGGCAGAAAAATGAGGCCACAGGCAACTTTGGCTATAGTTTCAATGGACTGCTCCTTGAATGTTCCAGTTTGAGGAGTCTAATATGCCAGTGGGAATTGCTAGTGTCCTATTGGTGGGCATCCCTGCATCCCAGGGTATTGTGTGCTTAGGAGGCCCTGGATTGAAATTCATCTTTTCTAGGCTACAGGGTCAAGGCTTAGAGCTGTTACCACTTAGGTTTATGTTTGTGTTCATTTCTCACTCATATCAACCTTTACTCCAGTGATTCGATTTCTCCCAGATCTATTCCACATTCAGTCTATATAGTCAGTACGGGCTTTCTAATGTCTGAGGGGGGCTTTCTGTGCACAACAAAGATCATTAACAGCTACTTAAGTCTTTAATTAATGTTCAGTATGCTAGAGGTACAAATTCAAAAAATCAAATTTTCTGTTACCAGAGATACACACTGAAAAAAATAAAGATGTCCTTAAGTTTTTAGATTCCGTTAGCTCTATTTGTAAATTTAAAAGAATAAAATAAAATAAAAACTGTAACTCTTGGGGGAACTTTGAAAAACATTTGATTAATTCAAATTGAAGACTAAAGTCCCTTTACTCAACAATTAGTTCCATTTAGAAACACAGTTAAGTACATTCTCTTGAAAACTTAAATTGCATTTATAAATTTGGTATATTTAATTTTTAAAAAGCACTTAGTATGTCTGACTGGGCAGGCTTCAAACCAAATTTTCCAGAGTACTCACCCTGGCTTCATTAGTCATCAAATACATGCCAAGCATTGCTAGCCACTGGAGATACAGCAAACAAAACAGAACAATGAGCAACAATGAATAAAACAGAAAAATCCCTTGCCTTCATGGAGTTTATATTCTTATAACTCTTAAGTTCATTAAACTCTTAAAAACCTAATAAACCAAAGTTTTAAATGAGAATTTCAAAGTCAGAATTCTTATACCTTTGAACTTAAAATTGTGAGTCTAAAATCAATTGTACATTTCAATTAGAATCACAAACCAGATGTGTATCTAATTAGTGTCTATAATCTAAAAAAAATTAATCTGATACGTAAATACCAAGTGTACAAATGATTCTTACGCCCAATTTAAAAAAAATACTAATACTGTAAACTTGATTTGCTTTATCATTTCTCCATTTATTTCTAAACTTTCGAGTACTGAATACTGGGTTATGCAACTGAGCTTCTGTGATGTTCCTAACCCAGTTCATAACCCAGATACATGATCGTCTCATGTAGGTTGAGAGACTTGAAACTAGTGGGACTGGGGACCTACAGGTCACATATGACCAGAGTGAACGTTTCCGTTGAACAGATGGACACACTGAGCCAGATTTTAACAGTGACTAAAATAACGGGATTCCACATCTACTTTCTTCAGACAAGATTGGTTTCATAATATGCTGTTTGCTAGATTCAAGCCTTAACTTCATAATCTTTTTTGATGTTGTCATCTGATTTGGATGGATAAATTACATAACTGTCCCTACCTCTCCTACTTTACTATCTGATTCCATTCAGCTAACCCAAACTATTCAAATTCTTCTGTGTCTGGCCCTTTGGCCTTGCCTCCAAGGATACTCTGTTTATGTGTACTACTAGAAGATGCCATTCCCCTGCAAGGCCAGCATTCAGAGGTGGCTGAGTGTAGCTCTCCTCCCCACATCTCCATCAACCCACCCCATTTTTTTTTCCCCATACACACAATGACTATTTTCTCAGTTTTAAGTCAAGGGCAATTCAAGCTTGCTCTCCAGAAAATTCCTGGCTGACCCCTCCCTTTGAACAGATTCTCTCTGTTGAGCCCCTTCTATATAGAAATTCTCTCTGTTGAGCCCCTTCTATATAGAAAATCATTGCTTCTTTGCTTAAAACCCTTCAGCAATTCACACTGCACTTGGGATAGAATACAAAACCCTTAATGCAAGTCCTTGCATGATCTGGCTCTCGCCTTCCTCCATGACCTCATCATACGCCTTTCTCTCTTATGCTCCACTTCCAGCCACACTGGCCTTTTTTAACTTCTTCCAACAGAAGCTACACTTCTTTCCTACCTCAGGTCCTTTGCATGTACTGTTCCCAGTTTCTGAAACACCATTTTCCCTACTCTGCTTGGATGACTCCTCATCCCATAGGTCTCAGATGAACTGTCATTTTTTCATAGAGGTTATTCTTCTTTGTAGAACGTGGCACACTTTGTGCATTTATTTGCTTACTACTGAGACCTTAAACTGCGTGGAGCCGTGTGTGGTGTTCTGTTTGTCCAGCGCCCATCACAGTGCTGGCATATTCTAGATAGTCAATAATTCCTTGCTGAATGAGTAAATAAATACCACAGTTGCCACAGCAATCACCATTAGCCTTCAGTCATAACTTGTAATCATTCATATCACCACTTTTGGCTAATGGGAGGTACTGAGTAATTGTATGTTGAATTGGATTGAGATATCTAAATGTCAATATATCGTGCATTCATTAATATAATTATTTTATATTACCTCTATGGTTCTTTGCACATGTAGCCTTCTATTGCTTCTAAAGCTGTAGTCTTTCTGTTCTTAGAAGATCTCTTACAGTAAAGAAGACATTTTAGCAAAATGTGCCTTTTGGGGGGACTAACCTTTCCTAATTTTTAAAAAATGTCACTGACCATTAGCTAATTGTCTTACAGATAGTACTAAATTTTGATTAGTGTAAATATAAGTTCCGTATGATAGTGATTTTGTTTGTTTGCTTGTTTGTTTACCCCCCAGCATCCCAAGAGATGGATTAGTTCCACCGGCCCCAGGTTACAGAGGGCAGCCTTAAGATACTGAATGGAAGCTCTAGTTCTAGATTATCTAAGGCTTGTGGTTTAAACCCCGCCCCCTCCGCATAGTTCTTCAAGAACCTTGAGGCCCCTTCTCCCCGCCCCACCCCCCCGAAAGACTTCAAGCCTCGGAATAGCACCGTTTTTTTCTAGAACTCTTGAGTCTTAACCATTTAGAGCCTGCTGTTTTTCCGGGTTTTGTTTTTTTGCGGTATCAGCCTGATCAGATCATAGCCCCATAAAGATTTCGCGTATCCTTATCTCTGCACCTTGGCAGCTGTGGCTACGAAACTACGGCATAAAAAAAAAATGATTTTGAACGTTGCATCGTTAGTAATTTTTTAAAAAGCGCCAAAAAAGGTAAAATAAAATACAATGCTGAGAAAGAAAAATCAGTTATTTTTGTTGTTTATAACGCCCGAGCATTTTTGGAAACCCAAATGGGGGGTATGGGCGTTTTGAAAAAACGGCCGCGGCACAGCGTCGTCGGGGTTCGCAGCATTGTGACCGCGCGCCTTTAACTCGGCGTGACCTCGGCGTCCCGGGCCCCGCGCCCCCCTCCCCTCCCGCGTCGCGCGCATTGTTGTCCTTTAGCGATTGGTTGCTGGACCCGAAGCCGCTGTGCAGAGCCGTGCTGTGTAAAGGACCTGAATGCAAGTTAGCGGACGGCTAGTGACTTACACGGGGCATCCAGGGCGAGAGAGGAAGAGCCGGAGGCCACCACCACTGCACTTCCCAGGCGGCGTGGACCAGGTGCCCCGGCGTTTGCGGCTGTCGCAGGAGCCCCCGGTGGCGCCCCCTCCTCCGGCTCTCGCCGACTTCGGGGTTGGCGCAGGTGGGCGAGACAGGGCACCGCCGACCTCGCGGTTCCCACCGAGGGGATTCGGTCTCTCTCTGCGAGGGGGAGGGAGCATCCTAAAAATATGTAAATATCGAAGCGCTGACTCTGGCCTGGGACACCAGCCAAGGTCCCCGCGCCGCCGCAGGGTGTTTTACATGAAAAAGAGAAGCCTGTCAGGATCCGTGCTCTAACTTAAGGCAGCGCGGTGATTAGCATGAGCCTGGCCGGCTGCCCTGCTTCCTGCCCTTCAGTAGCCGTTCTGCGCGCTCGCGACCGAGCAGCGGTGCCACCGTGCGGGTGTGGATCGGCAGGCACTGCCTCGTTGGCAGCCATGGCTCCGCGCGCGCGCGCGCGCGCGCGCTAGGAGCATGCATGTGTAGGGGGGCACATGCGTGTCGGCGCGCGCGCGCGCGCGCGCGCACACACATACACACGCGCGCACACACACACGCACGCACGCACACCACCCTGAGCCTCGGAAGGAGGAAGATTGACGAGGCGCTGCAGTTGCGAGGACGACTCGGGCTCTTCCTGGATTCCGCAGGAGCCCGCCTGCCGCAGCTGCTGTCTGCAGAGCCTGCTCGGACCCCTGTGCACACGCGCCCCCCATTCGAGCCTCTGTAATGAAGACTGCCTCCCGAGGACTGCCGGAGAGGCAGAGCCAGCCTGCGCCCGCGACTGCGGGCCGCGCGGTCGAAAGGCCCTGGGGGACACGACTTGGACACTGTCAACCCCACGCCTCTCTCTGAGCCGCCGGGTGCGGAGGGTCTTCCGCCGCCCCTCCGGCTTCCCGGGCGCCCGATCCCGGGTCAGCCCCGGAGGCCTCGGCTTCCTCGTTTGTTTGGATCTTTTGTGCCGTGGCTCACAGTTGGCTAAGCACTCCTGCGCTGAATCGGGCCATTGTGTGCGCTCCCATTGCTTTCACGCTGCAAGTCTCGGCGCCCCCACCCCGCCCGCCCCCTCCCCGCCTCCTCCTGGCCGGGGAGCCTGCTAACGTGCCTTTCCCCCCAGGAATCTGGAAGCTATAAGACGGGCGGATTGCAAATGAAGTGTAATGCATTGTGGGACGTGTGTAAAATCGGAGCCTTCACCGTGGGGGTGTGTGGGGGCGTGGGGAGGGCCGGACCCGCCGCTGGCGGTGTAGACGCCGACGAGGAGGGGCTGGGAAAATGTGCGCAGAGTCCGCCCGGGTCGTGCCCGCCGTAGACGGATGAAGCAGCGCGCTGCGCCCCGGCGCTGAGGCCCCCAGGATCGGGGTGGCAGGTCGCGCTCCCCACCATGAAGAAGACCCGGAGCACAACCTTGCGGCGAGCCTGGCCTAGCTCGGATTTCTCGGACCGGGCCTCGGACCGCATGAGGTCCCGGAGCGAGAAGGACTACCGCCTGCACAAGCGCTTCCCCGCGGCCTTCGCGCCCCAGGCTTCGCGGGGCTACATGACATCAGGTGGGTACCCGCGTTTCTGCCCCCGGGCCGGGTCCGCGGGGCGTGCTCGGTGCGCCGCTGCCCGGGAGGGGGGGGGTGCGCTTAGGTGGGAGTACGGCCGGTGATGGATGCGCTAAGTTATGGGGAAAGCAGGAAAAAATTAGCTCACATCCACCATTTTGTACCTCCGCAAGATCCACAGCAGGCCCTCTCAATATGGGGTTGGAGAGCTATTAGTTAGGTAAAATAAGGGAGGGGGACGTGCCGGGCGTTTTGGCTGCAGGAGACAAATGACTGCAAGCTCCTTGCGCGGCAGCCTCCTGGAGCTTTGTGGAAGAGCCTGCGTCCGGTGCTTCCTGCAGTACCGAGCTGGTTGGCTCCTGCATTGTGGCCAGTTATCCTAGCGGCTATTTAAATAGCCCCCTGTTCTTAAAAGGGAACAGGTTCCATGCACAGTTCTGGATGGTCTGAGTCAGGCAAGAGCCCCACATACATCGCAGGCTCATCCGATGTGCACGCAGAGAACTCTGTTGGAGCTCATTGAATGCGTTCTGTGGGGTAATGGTGTGGATGCGGATTGAACGCTCACATGATACCTTGTGGGTTTAACATATGTTGCTTTGAATTAGGTTGTATGGAAAGCATGGAGGCTGTGTTTGCATGTCAGACAGGAAGGACGAACAAAACGGTAAATGGGAACGAAGGCTTCAGAAAAGGGTTCATCATCATAAAACGCAGTGCTGTTAAAAGCGTTTCGGAAGGAGCCGGTTCCCCTTTGGCAGCACAACGGAATGGCTTTGGTTGTGAGTTGGGAACCCAAGGGGTAACATACTGGAGGAAATGCTGAAGGGGGAAAATCCTGGAACTCTTTCCTTGTTTTCTCCTTACTGACTGTTGACCACTTGTATGCGGTGATGTATAAGACATCAATTTTTGTTCGTTTTTCATTTTGAAGGAATTAATTTTCTGCTGAACATAATGTGATGGAAGAGCTGAGTTTATATTTGAAACCACATACTATTCCAAATCGCCCTGAGCCCTGTCTTAACTGGCAAGATTGCTTTAAGCCTGTGGTTGTTGCTCACAGTGTATCTCTACCGTCTTTCCCCTAAAACAACCCGTTGTTTCTTTTTTTTTAAACTGGGGCCAGTATCTCATGCTTTAAAAATGCCTTGTGACCACATTTCCATAAATATAAAACCTAAATAAAATAACCATCTTTTTATTGCAAAATCTGGTGACAGAAGGATGTTGTACAATTTTGGCAATAAGGCTCACTTGATTCTCTCTTTCATGAAAAGCCAGATTTGCAAAGTGACAAGTACAGTTTATACTTTAGTAATTTCAGTCAATCACTGCTGTGGTTGCTACATTCTTCAAACTTGTGATAGTAAATTTTGAAACACACCTAAGTCGAAATCTAACCTCAAAACACCTATGTACGTAAACGCGTGTCTGTGCCGAGTGTTTTTAGATAATCCCAGGTTTCAAATGCTTGGGTCTGAATGTCTTCATTCCACCCGGAATGGTTCCCCTCTTTTTTAATCCCTCTTCAGGTGTTAGGCTAGAGGAGGGCAGGTGGCCATAATTTCTTCGACAAACCTGTGAGATTCTTTAATGATTTCAGGCGTATTCCCATGGAGCCTGTTTTTATCTGTCTTTGGCATAGCTTCATTATGATCACATTTTCATTATTTACTAAAGTACTTTGCTACATTGCCAGTTCTGCAAGGTGTTTCTGAGGGCTCAGGGAAGAAACTCTTAATTTTATTTGATTCTCTTTTCTTGACCTGCAAATGGTAAGCTGATCTTAACAGTGATACTGAAAGACAAATTGTTTCTGGTTGGTGGTTATCTATGCAGATTAATGTTAGGCGCCCACGGAGAAAAGAAACCCAAGAGGTGGAGGAAGAAGAGCTGTGTCATTTGTTCAGCATTTTCTGGAGTGTCCCCTAAGAGCAGAGTGCCTTGCTAGATTCTCATGGGGCTACAGGGTTGGATATAATATGGTTTTGCCCAGGGACAGAGGGCTATTATTTATTCATCATTTTAAATGTTAGCTAGAACATGTAATAAAAGCTATTGGTGCTAACGGGAGGCAATAGTAAATATTAAGACAGATACCTACAATGAACACTGGGAGAATAGATGGGATCACTCATGTGCATCTTTTGTGTGTTTCAGGGGGAGGTAGCTTATCAATTTCCTTTTCAAATATGGCTCTTTTCCAAATCTGAGTCTTGATGGGAATAGACAGTATATGGAAACACGCAGAGATCATTTACAGGAAGTTCTCTTCCTCTTAAGAAATGTAAAGGAAATCCACTTGTATCAAGTTAGTGACTCTGGATACAAACAGAGCCTTTGTCACATAAAATGGAATAGAAAATGAAGCAGCTAAGAAACACACGAGCCTTTTCATATTCTTTCTGTTTGTCCAGTCATTTGGGATAATGTCGACTGGCATTATCATACTTCGTTTTCAGTAAAAAAGGGTTTTTTTGTTACTGAGTTCAAAGGACAAGATAAGTTACCGAGTTACTCAAGACAAGGAACTTAAAATAACTGCAGTTGAGGCTCTTTTTAGAAATCCACACCCTCCCCCCACAAATAGTCCTAAAAAATATGGGGTGGGGGAATCACTTTTTTTTTTTAACTTTAGGAGAGGGGAGAGAGAGACACAGAGAGAGATATCCTTGGAAATGTTAATAGCTGTTGTTTGGTCTGGCATAACTGTCACGCAGTAGATTCTGGAAGTTTAACTCTGTTTATTAAGGCAGAATTGCAGGCGTTCCATAATAGCTTTCTAATGAGACAGCAGCATTTCAAACAGCCCTCTCTCCACCAATAAGTAATTACCAGTTTGAAATGTGATTTATAGCAATAGGCTTGACATTTAGCCTGGACTTTTTCATATAGCTTCGGGATAAACGACACTTAAACTCAAGAGGTTCAGATAGGCGCGTATAAAACTTAAAAGAGATCCTGTTGAAGCATAGTTCAATAGAGAATTCTGAAATTTTAAATCTTGAAAACCGCGGCTTTTATGACTGTGTAAGCTCCCAATTCATGCTACCAAATCTAAAATAATCCTAAGAATTCACAGACCTCCTCCTGGCACCCGGCAAGTCCACAGGCCATGGGATGAATCCATTGTTTGTCTTGAATATTAATTTCCCATTGGTAGTTTCTGGGCAAAAGGGGGGACAATCTCGCCTTTTGTTCAAATCAGGATGAATAACTGAATGTGAATGCATTATCTGAAGAAGAAAAGAGGTTAGATCAAATGGAGGTAGGATCATTCTTCTGCATTTTCTAAAACTAGAAATGACGATAGCAATTGACTAGAGATAAAAGCAAACCCCCCTCCCCAAAGAGGAAAATATCAGTATAATTCCTAGTACTTTACATATGAAAACATGCTCACAGACCTCCGTGAAATAATTTTCAAGGCGCCAAAGCTTTTGTTGGTGAAACTGTTAGAGCCCCCTGTCTGTTAGCTGTGTGACCCGTGACCTCTTCACACCAGTGATGCTACTGAATCCGTTTTCTTCATTGCCTTCTCCCCCAGCCCTGGGGATGGGTGCTTCTGGATGTTCTACGTGTAATGCCACCAAGTCTGGGGGCATTCTGTAGATCGGGCTTGGAAGGTAGTTTTTCCACGGGAAAGGTTCTCCTGAGCACGTTCATAAAAGGGGTTGCTTAATGTGAGACCCCTCCAAAGTCATGGCACTTTCACACGGATACTTGTCACTTTAAAGAACAGGAAAGTAGACAGTTTTAATACCATGGCTTTAAAGGATTTGAAAGGAAAGATCCATCAAAAAGCCCCAAATTGACATCTTTTAGGAAAATTTAAATTGGGGTTGTCTGCCCATAGAACTCATACCATCAGTGGGGAGGAATGACCAGCCCACCACATTGATGAGTATATTAGTTTTCATTTTATAGAAACGAATTCTGGGGCACAGCTGATGGCGTGTCCCAGTTCCTTATGTTCTGTTATTTTAAGAGATGTGAGAGTTTTCTGGGAGTGGAGGATGGACACTCGAGGTTCTAATCTGGGCCTGCCACCAACCAGCTGTGTCCCTGGCGAGTAACATGACCTCCCTTCCCATCTGCAACGGGTCCTTCTGGTCCCTGCTTCCATTACAGAATTGGGCTCTGCGGTGACTCTGTAATGAGCCATCCCAGGACCTGTGAGCACTCACACAGAAATCCTTAGAAATAACCTTTGCCCTTTCTGCTTATGGGAGTCATGTGCTTCCCCGTATGTGGGGTATGTGGGAACAGTGCTCATTTTGCAGTAGAATCGTACTTCCTGCCATCCCCCAGCATTGCGTTAAATATGCCCAGGGCTTGTCCTGGCAATCAGAGTAATGGGGGTAGGAGGTGATGGACGAAGCTATAATCATATGCAAGTTTTAATAAACAGCATCCTGTCACCTCTTTCCCCTCTGCAGCGATCCATTTTTAGCGAGCTCCTCCAACTGTGTTTTAATTTGAAGCTACCTGTGTTGACTCCTTTCATCAGGCCAGTGGAAGTGAGGAATATTACACTTGGTGGTGAATGACTTTATTCTTTATTTCCCAGGAGAACATGAATGCGCTTACAAAAGGTCACCTCTCTTGGTATTTCAATATCTTTTACACTCTTGTGAACGTTTTTATTTGAAAAAAAGGAATATGAGTATATTGTATAAAATCCTTAGCATTTTTACACCCCGAGAGCAATTCTGACTGAAATTCCCTATGCCCCAGAGAGTTAGGCCAGTTCACACAATAGCATGTTCTGTGGTACCTGATTGCTTATGCTGAGTTGCAGTTATAACCAAGAAACAAAATCTGGTTAGATCCTGGCTGGTGGGATAACATGATGACTTTTGAATTTAGGACAGGCTTTTTTAGATCAGTCCTAGAAACTGTGTGGAGTCCCATCTGTAAGGTGTAGAGTAGAGGTTCTTGTAGTTTGTAAGAATGTAAGCTGTAGTCAACTCTAAATTAACCTTAGCCGCAGTGAC